TACGTCCCCGAGGCCCAGACCCGCCTCTGAGCCCAGCCACGGCCAGCCCGCGGCTTTTATAAGTCATTAAATGGGAAAAAAAGGTTCTCTTGAAACTAGTGTGATTTATTCAGTCTAGAGACAATGAGCCATCCTTGAAAAGGGCTCCTGAGTTGGCTTTTTTCTCTCTCAGCTTTAAGTAATGAAGATTTTAACAAAAAAAAAATACAAACAAAAAAAAAAAAATTAAAAAAAAAGAAAAAATGCCCCTCGTTTTCTCCCCAGCTGTGGTGTTGCTGAATGGACTGGACAGACTCCTGGGAACTCCAGCCCCTCGACTTGGAACTTCAGTCTTTTTACTTGTTCTATCTCATGAGAATTATTAGCTTGTTTACAAGAAGAGGACAAGAAAACACGAAGCCTCGAGCACTTGCCGTGCTGTGTTCTTCCTCCTCCTCAGATCTGTTCTGCCCTTCTCATCCTTTATTTTTCCCTCCTCCTTCTCCCGTTCCCCACCCTTTGCATGGTTTCGGTTCCCATGTCCGGACCCCCCTGTCCCCGCAGAAAGCACCTGTGGTGTGTGATCCCTGCTGCCCTCTCCAGCCAGCTGGGCTTTGTGTTCCTGGGATGGGGTGCTGGGCTGGGGGAGGACGGGCACAGGGGGCCCCATCTTCAGCTTGTTGGAGGGAGAGGACGCCGGGGCTGTGGAATGTGGGGTTGAAATGCAGCCCAGAGCAAAATGTGCAATAAACCTGGCGCAGGGGACCCCGAGGGCCGGAACCCGCTCCGGAGCGGAGCTGAAGGAGCACAGAGCACGAGCACAGCACTATGGTTTCCCTCCTCTTCCCCTTCCCACACCGTTGTCCTTGGCTGGCTGGTGGAGAGAGGAGCTGCTGCAGCGGGGGCTGTGGGGTCAGCGTGTCCAGGAGGAGACAGGAGGGTGTACATATGCACATATACACTTAGTAGTACCTGTATAGTAATTCCTACACACGGATCCTGCCCACGCCACCGCGGGGGTGGGCAGATGTATAGCATATATTTTTACATGTACTATATCTAGATGTGTGTCCAAGTGTGTGTAAAAATATATACCCTGTGTGTAAGCAGATGACTATTTTTTCCTTATCTCCCTGCTCTCTGGGTAGAGGAAGGATTGCTAAATATTTTTTAGCCCATTTTTTCTTCCCCTTTGTAGGTCTCCTTTCCGGTCTGGCTCCTCGGAGCCAGAGCTGCCACCCCCTGATTCTTTGCCACCCTCTCACACAGAAGGTTTTTGTCCCATCCTGAGGGATCTTGCTGGGGATTTTTTTTTTTTCCTCTTCACACGTTTGAACAAGTTGGGAGATTGTGTGCTACTGTCATGGGGGTGGAGGTGGAATCCCAGTGGTTTCAGTGAGAGTGTTGGTGATCCAGAAGGCAAAAAATAAATAAAAGTGAAATCCTGAACGATGCCTGCTGCCCTTTGTGTGCTGTCTGGGGCTGTCCATGAACACTGCTCTGAGGTCTCTGCCCCCAGCCATAGAATTCCCAAAGTTTGGCTGTGCTGGGATTCAGATTGGGCTGGAGGTGGGGGTCAGGCTCTGCTCTCAGGGAGCAAGTGCAAGCAGCCTCAGGTTGCTCCAGGGGAGGTTTGCATTGGATACTGGGGGAAAGTCTTTCATGGAAAATGTGGTCAGGGCTGCCCAGGGCAGGGGGACAGTCCCCAGCCCTGGAGGTGTTGGAAGGGTCTGTGCAGGTGGCACCTGGTGGTGCGTGGCCATGGCAGGTTTGGCAGCAGCTGGGACTCCTCTTGGAGGCCTTTCTCAAACATAAAGATTCCGTGGGGGCAGAGACTCTGTTGGGTTGCACGGTTGGGTTTTGGGGCGGATGCAGCTTTAGGAATCACTGGCAGATTGAGCAATCCCAAAGAGATGTGGGAGTTAATTAATTTATTTTATCATTTACTCTTCCCTGCTGCTGCTCATGGAGTGGTCAAGCTCTTCTTGCTGCCCTGGGCTGGGCTTGCTCATAATATTTATATTCTTATATAACATGGATTTGTATATATATAGGTGCATATATTTTAACATGTAAGTGAACTTATAAAGATGTAAAAATTAATTAATTTTAATATGGTTTTGTATCTTATAATTAATACAATATTTAAAATTCCCCTACATGTATTAAAATACATATACAAATACAGAGGTAGATTACATACTTCTATATGCATATACATATAAATATGTGTAACACGTGTACAAAAACGTGTTATACGTATTTAGACACACCTTTTATAAATCTGGGAATTATTTGTGGCAGATATTTAACACCCCTTTTGTAAATAATTTCATGCCCACTCCTTGAATCCACCTGTTTTGAGCCCAAAGGACAGGGGCAGCCAATCACGGGGCTGCCTGCTATCACGTGGGGATGGTGGTGTCACGAGATGGCTGCCTGCCAATCACAGCACGCCGTGACGTTTAGCAAAATGGCTGCGCCCTGCCATAAGATGGCGGGTGAAACAAAATGGCCGCCCCCAGTGGATACAAGAGGTGAGGCTGTGTCTCACAGTACTTCCGGGTCCTATCAACCAATCACAGCACAGTATGTACTGCTGCGGCGAATGGCCGTGAGGCTGCTGGGAGAGGGCGGGCCTGGAGGAGG